GAGACCAGTAAAAAGAAAACCATTCAGAATGGAATGAAATTAATTACACTTACAGTTACTGCAGCATGAGAACACGTAGAAAGCCAAAGTGATAAACAGAGAAACAACAAAAGCTTCCTGGAACTCCTCATTGATGACATTCTCTATAATCAGAATATTAAGCTGAAGGCAATAAGAATTTGTGGGATGAGTTGTTAAAAAAAAAAGTGCTTTTAGGCACACATATATATAGAAAAAAAGTTTCCCAACCTCCTGCGGACCAATCATACTTCATTAACATTATTTTTTGGTAACACAAAACAAATTAGTAATAAGAATGCGTTTTATTTTTAAAGAAAAATTATCATTCCATATATATATACATACAAAATCAGATTTAAGAATCTAACTAATAAATGGTGCATTATTAGGATTTAGGAACATACTATGTTTTGTTCTGTTTTTGACAGGTAGATATTAATTAATTTTCTTTTAGATTATATAATTACAAAAATATATATTAGATTTATTTTGTTCCGTCAACTAGAATTAGGACTAATATATGTGGTTCGTGATTATGTGTGTGCACGTTTTTATTTTAATTTTTTTTTCACGAAATAAAGAGTAAATCTCATTAATCCATTGGAAATTGTCGGACAATGAGTGATGACATATACATTGCTAATACTTTCTCCTGAGCTCATTTTGATTTGTCCTAAAATTCACATAATATGTTTTTTTTTAATTGAAATTTTCTTTTTACATTCATTGCATTCTTCTAAGCAATATAAGATATTTTTAAATTTTTTTAATTGAAAAAATATACTAGGAAAATTTTAGAACAAATTAAAATGTCTTATAATAAGGACTGAAGGCAATATTTGATAGAAAAAATAAATGCGCAATACCACTGCAGTTCCCAATCAAGTGAACACCCAATTCCATAAGCGTTGCATAAAAAATTCAAAACAATATCAAACAATTGAGGTTAATGACGTTTGAAACGTTTTAAAATATGTTCTTCGTGTGTTTACTCTTATCGAATAGGGGGGACAAAAAGAAAGAAAATGAAGTGAACCAGCTGGTTTAAGGAAATGAAACATCTATGTCTGAACTTAATAAACATCTGTCTGAACTTAATAAAGTATTAGAGAGCTTCAGGAGCTCACCACGGACTGTCATATGTTTGATTTAGAATACTCCGGGGAAGCGTTAGCATGGTGCAATTGGCATACTAATGGTCCTAGAGTGTATAGCAAGCTGGACAGAGTACTTGTTAATTCTGATTGGACTGATCTATTCTTTAGCTCAAATGCAGTATTTTTCCCCCCGACCATATCAGATCACTCCCCTGCTGTAGTTACATCCTTTCCCCATCTTAAAGTACATCCTCCCTTCAGATTCCTCAACGCTGGGACCTCACATGAAGCATTTCTTCCGCGCTAGTTGCTGGAATATGGAAGAAAGAATATTGTGGTTTCTCCTCTGTTTACTCTTGTCAAGAAGCTGAAAGATGTGAAAGCTGCCTTATTTAAGCTCTTCCGTAAAGCTCATTTTTTGCAAGATTTCTGATAGAGTGAGAGCAGCAAAAGATGATCTCAGTTCAACACAGCATGAGTTGCAAATCCACCCCAACGATCCTTCCTTGATAGCAGTGGAACTTCAACAACTAAAGAGCTATCACAAGTTGCTACATGCTGAAAAATAATTATTCTCACAAAGGGCAAATGTAAAGTGGATATCCTATATACCGGTCGTGAGCTTTATTTCTTGCAACTTTGCGAGGAATAGTTTTTCCAACGGAAAAAGCTAGCTCTCATTTTTTCAGACCTTAGGACCTGTTACTGAATAGGAGATACTAATATTATCACAATCGGAGTAGTATCTATTGGAGAAGGGGATAGTATTATTAGAAATTAGATTTACGATTAATCTAAGATCAACTATTAAAACTATGTAGTTATAATATCTTCAAAACGGACTTTTATGTTGGGAAACATCAGGTTTCAAGCGGAGATAACTTACGTCACATTGTAGGTTGTGGATTACCACCATCAAACCAAATTGAAAGTCGTTTTTAATAAGTGTTGCAAAGAATTGGATAGATTTATTGATGGAATTGGGATGACTTCTTATTGATGTCTGTTATTCCTCCAAGAATAGAGTATCGCAGTTCCTCAATCTCCAAAATGAAAGGAAAAAAAAAAAGAAAAAAAGATACTATGCATAATAACCATAATTTACACTTAGGGGAGAAGATTAAATTGAGGAGAATGTTTCTGGCGTTATTCAATTTGAGTATGTGGAGGTTGCTAAATACTCCCTCCATCCCATAATTATTGTCTAGTTTTACTAAAATGAAAGATTTTATTTTTGGTCAAACTTAACTATATTTTACCTTAAACAACTGGATATACCCCTACATAAGTAATTGTTTAAATACTAAGATTTGATGGATAATGTTTTTTTACTAAGGACAAATTTGTAATTTGATCCATAAAAAGTCAAATTGGACAATAATTTTGGGACAAAATTTTTTGGGCAAAGTGTACAATAATTATGGGACGGAGGGAGTATAAAGCAAGCATCGACTTTAAAATAAAAAGAGCATCTTTTACTTGTGTAGGCCGAGGGCCAAAGAAACTAATAACCTTGATTTGTATGACTTGTAGAGTGTGCAGGAAAGTGAGTAGCAAAAGTAAAAGGAATAGTCATCTTTTCACACTAATTATAAATTAACTTCTTACTTATGAACTTACACAAGACAAGATTACTTAGCATATTTTTGGCAATAAATGTTCTAAATTACGTATATATATTTGAAAAATTTTGTCTCACAATATTTTTTGGCTAAACAAATAATTCTCAAGTAAAGGTAGAGTTTAAATCAAAGTAGCCTGATCAACTTAGAAAGCGAGCACATTCTCATTGTTTTACAAATTAGATAAACAAAACAGAAAGCAAGAAAAAAACTCTTTAGTCGCGTTGTTTGTAATACATTATAATACATTATGCAGAAAACTATAAGACAGAATCATTCACCAAAGAATTACCAAAATTCATACACACACATACACACACAAAAAAAAAAAAAATTAACATAGACACTAGAATTCTTTGAATGCTTTTAAAAGGGTTGTATGGAATGATGTAGTAATTGCCAAGGTGGGTTGCAGGAGTGCATACACGTGAGGAGAAGAGTGGAGGCTACAAATCAAATTCATGAGCAACTTATTAAGCATATTAATCATAATTTAAACTTCGCGGAGAATATTAAAACGAAAAATTTCATACTGAGTACAAACTTTTGAGAACACCAACCTGGAAAAAGTAAACAGCCATCAACACCAAAATAATGGATGTTAGAGATAGTGAAAACTGAAAAACCTATTCCAAAATCGAGCACAAAACAGGGAAACCAAATTAAATACAAAATATCCCCATAATTCCAAAAAAAAATCACTTATAACCACCATTTGGGTCAATAAAAGGGAAAGCAAAAGTGGGATTTGCAGATTAATGTAGATATTACTTCAAGAGAGTATAAGATTTTGGGGACGGAGAATAGCGATGGCGGGATGATGATGATTATGCCTTACACAACGGAGATAAATAAGATATTGAGTGTCCCTGACAAATTAAACAATAAACGACTGAATTAGTCAGAGATTAAAAAAAAAAATTGAACCAAAAACATAGTAGAATTTATAAACAATGGAATCTCATGATCAGTGAGATGATAAGTTCATTGACGGCCAACTTCCAATCGGGCAGAACAACTTCACGGAGATAAAGCACAATCTTTTGAAAACCAAATATGTTTCTTTTGACGGGTTCTTTTGAAAACGAATCAGATGGGAACTGAGTGCCGATGGCAGAAGAAGAGAAAAGGCAAAAAAAAAAAAAAAAAAACCCTTTTTTTGGGTGTTGAATGCTCACGGCTGAAAAGAAGAAGAGGAACAATCCTTTCTTTCTTTTCCATGCATTCATAATTTAAAAAAGAGAAGAAAATTTATACCTTCTGCTAAAAAGTCTCTCAAAAGAAGAATTGGGCTGATGAATTCGATGAGGAGGAAGCTATATATAGAGAAAGAAAAAAAAAAAAAGTCTTCCCGCATATATTTTGAGGCGCCATATTTTGGGCTGCCTTTTTAAATTTTATTTTGATTAATATAAGATAAATTGAGGAGAGTTTAATATGGGATAAATTGAGGAGAATTTAATATGGGATTATCATTACTGAAATGGAGTTTTCTCATTACTTGGAAAAGTTAAACCCTTTGTTTAAATTTTTTATGAAACGCAGTAATGATAAGAATCAGAATAAAATAACCATTACCTTCATTCCCATTACTGTCAAAAGAACGCAGCCTCAAAGTTATCCAAAGATTATTTTTATTTTCTTTTTATCTAGATAGGGGTGGTCAAGCCTTAATTTCACAAGTTGTTCTTTAAAAAAAAAAAATTGTGTGTTGAGATTTGATTGTTTTTCTTTTTTAATTGGATGGTTGTTGTGGATATATTTTATCCACAAACCGAAGGACCATTTCATACCTGAAATTAAGTTAGTTCTTGTGCGGAAAATTAAAATCAAATTAGTTGATTCTTTAATTAGTTCCTATTGAAACTTTTATAATGCATAAGTCATATATAGAGGTAAAATGTTAAATATGTATGGTTAATGATTCATTATATACTGAAGGCTTGACATGTAAAAATGGATCCTTTCATTTCTTTTTCACATTACAATGGACAGGTCTTCCAATCCCCCATTAACAGAAAATCCAGCTGAATATTACATAACTTCTTAATAAAGAAAAAGAAAACTGTTTCATTCTACTTTGTTTTGGGATTAATTTTTTGATTAATTGTATTCCGCTTTGATTAGTAGTTAAAAGCTAATACTGTCGACTGGTGCTTGTGAGGTACATTTGTTTTGAAACTGAGTGGTACTACTGTATCCAATTTGTGCTTAAGGAAATTAATGAAAACAGCAAAATTCATTAAGAAAAATAAAATAAGCTTCATTACTCAAAGTCATACACGTCCAATATCAAATGATCATATACTTTGGGATTTTGTTAAAACAAAATTTTTACATCCCATACACCATTATTACTGTTATTATTGTAAAAGCGTAAACCCAATTGGGCAAGAGACCTCCGCATCGATGTATGCGCCCTTTCACAATACTTTACTCACGGGATACGGCAAGTACCAAAAGCTGCATCAAAGTAATTAAATTAATTAGCCACAAAATATAAGAAAGAGATTAATCCAAAATTCAAGTGATTATGGAAATGTCTTTATTGTTAATTTTGTATCAATGTTTTCTTTGCCAAATATGATAAACTTGATTTGAGTAATAACCCACAAAAAAAAAAAACTTGATTTGAGTAATAACCAAAAAAAAAGAGAGTGAGAAGAGACATACATGGATCTACAGTAGTTATGAAGCCGATTTCATTGCAGTCACCATTAACTCTGTAAATGGCATCCAGAGCATATGTACCATGAACGTCATATGTGTTAGGCTCATAGCAGGTGCCGCCGGGTCGGATCGGGCTACAATCAATCTCTCCACATGCGAAATCAATGAATGCTTGCACCTTCTCGTTACTAACAGGTGGATTTTTTTTCAACACGCACCAACTCTTTTGGTGCAAAAAAAAAATCGGACAAAGAAATTGGTTAGTTAGATAGATAACATGCTAAAAAAATGGAATTAATTTGGAAATTAATATCTAAAAAAAATAAAAATGAAGAGACCAATAAAAAGAAAACCATTGAATGAAATGAAAGTAACTATACTTACAGTTGCAGCTTGAGAACACGTAAAAAGCCAAAGTGATAAATAGAGAAACAACAAAAGTTTGCTGGAACTCCTCATTGCTGACATTCTCAATATTAAGCTGAAGGCAAGAAGAATTTGTTAGATGTATTATTTGTTGAAGAAAACTCTGCGATTAGGCACACATATATACAGAAAAAAAAGTTTACCAACCTCCTGCATAGCAGTCATAATTCATCAACATTATTTTTTGGTAACACAGAAAACAAATTATTAATAAGATTGCGTTTTATTTTTAATGAACAATTACCATTGCGATTACACACAAAAAAAGATTTCAGAATCTAACTAATAAATGGTGCATTATTAGGATTTAGGAACATACTATGTTTTGTTTTTTTGTTGACAGGTAGGCATTAAGTAATTTTTTCAATACAAAAATAAGATTCATTTTATTTCGTCAACTAGAATTAGGACTAAACATATGGTTAATGATGGTTTATGTGTGCGTTCTTTTTTCCCCCGAAATAAGGAGCGAATCCATTCGAAATTGTCCGACATTGCTTTCGTTCCTATGCATTTCATTGTTTTCAGGATTTGGAAATTTTTTTCAAAAAAGGATGTGACTGTATCCGTAAATTCAAATGGACATATAAACTTCTGAGAACGAAATATAAGTATAGATAATTATGACTCATTCCTTATAATTTTTTCTTATATTCATTACTCATTTCAAAAAAATGGTTTTTCTTTTTTTTAAAAAAGGAAAAATTCTCAGATCGGTTGGTTTCACATAATACGTACTTCTATTAATTCTTGTGTATCTTCTACGTATCAATATACTGCAACAGTTCATAAAATATATTTTAATTATAAAATCCCAGCTAATCATAAATGAATTGAACCTTAATTTACGAATCACTTTATATATCAATTTACATATATAAAATATTCTTGAATATAATATATTCCCTCCGAACCACAAAAATAGTCTATAATGAGTTTTGAGTTTTATATTGTTTTTAGTACAAATTTGAAAACTCAATATAGACTATTTGTTTGGGACGGAGGTAGTATATGTTAGTATTAATGTGAAAAGAGAATGCATTAAGTTATGAAATTTTTTATTTTCACATAGTGGAGTTCAAAGTCTTTGATCTTACTAAATCATAAACCACTTCTTTGCAAAACACAGGTGACCGTCTCTCCCTTGTACATGTTTCACAAGACTTTTAACACCGAAAAATGGTAATGATTATCACTATGAGTCAGAGATAGAACAAGTAAATTCTTGCCACAAGTAATGCCAAAAAAAAAAAGAAAAGAAAAAGAAGAAAACTAACATAAAAAGGATTAATTTTCCTTTAGTTCTTGATAGTAGTAATTTTAACTTGAATACTAGTAGTAATAAAGAGCGTAATAAAAAAGAAAAAATAATTTCTCATTAAAAAAATCGCGGAGTACCCACAAGGCATCATGGTACTCTTAGGTAAAGAGAAAATGCATAAAACAATGCCAACATTGGCAACAAAAGTACTAATCTATCTCCAAAAAAAAAACAAAAACAAAAAAAATAAAAAGAACAAAAACAAAATAAAAAACACATTACTTGCGAACTATAATATAGTATGAGAATCATCTCCCAACATAATCAAGCTAATAGTTCTGGGTCTGGGCAATAATTTGAGAACTTATCTCAGCAATCTGAATAAGCAGAAAAAGGTCTTCATTAGCCTGCCTAATATTGGTAGCGTCCTCCAAAGTACTTGCGCTGCTAGAGAAAATATTACTGCAAGACTTGAGTTCCTCTTGCGCATCATTCAACTCAAACGGAATAAGCCTGAACTGACTTGTAATGTCGAATGCTCCCTGGGCAACCGTAAGATCGCGAATCGCGTCGTTGTAATTCTTTGAGCAGATGAAATACGTGTCCTTTTGGGTTCCATCATAGCTTTCCGTGAAGTAGTTCTGATTCAGCTGGGAATGGACCTCGTTTGCCCGGATCAGCGCCAAGTCGATGGCGCCTTTCGAGAGCTCTCTTGTGTTCTGCGCATTTCGGACCGGATCTAAGGTAAGACAAGTGCTAGGGTTTGATGTTCTTGTACATATGATTTCGCGAAACCCTTTCACGGCGGCATATGATGAGGGAACAAACCGGAGTAGGAAGATCAAGGTCGACAAGATTAGGATTGATGAAGATGTGTTGTGAAACAAAGAGGCCATTTTTTGTTTTTTGTTTTTTTTTTTTGGGTAATTGTGATTTTGATTGATTTTCTTGGGTATATTTTCTCTGAACAGATCGGAGGACCTTTTTATACAAAGTTATGGGATGGCTAATTTCGTAGTTATTACTACTCTGTAGGTTGTGTTGCTTACTAATGTTTTCAACGTTTCAAGTTAAACTACAATTAATTTGGCTGAATTAATTAATTAATTAGGCTTGAGTTTCATGAATTTATTCATGTCGATCAGTTATAGGATTAGTGGTTGTCTTTTATAATCCAATGTATGGAATGAATATGTTATTAAATGGACGAACTAAAGGGGGTTATTTAATTGTAACTACTCGATCAGTGACTCATAGACATAGTGAAGTTGGATATGTTAGGTTCTATGACCTTAGAATTGTATTAGAACCCTACGGGCAGGAAAGAAGTCTAATATAACAAGGCTTTAAGTAAACCTTCTTGATGATCTAAATGGATAAAATTAGAAGTAACAATAGAAAGAAAGAATCACTAGCATGTACATTAAAACCTATTTAAACTAATAGCCTTGGGCCACTCAAAATTTATTAATTTATCGAGTTATTAATTTATCGATAAATTAATAATTATTAATTTAAAGAGTTTTTCAATCATGTGATAATCTTTGCCAAGAAGAAAAGTATAGTAGATCATAAATATGGACTTCTAACTTTATTAATATGGTATTAGGGTTCTCTTTGTGAAGCTCCAATTTTGAATTTCCAAAAAAGAAACACTAAAGGCAACAACAACTTTTCATAATTTTTTATTGCAGTGTGACAAAGCGACACCGGAACTTTTGAATGTAATGAGAAATATCAAAGACGATATCTCCATAGATATAAATTTTAAAGAAAAAAAAGATCAATAGATACATATTTTACTAAAAATTATTAGTTTTTGTTTCGATAATTATTAATTTATGAAAATATGGGGACCTATATTTACATAGGGGATTCTTGAAAATTTATTATCTTATAAATTAATAGAGTTTTTTTCATTTTTTGAACTGGTTCCGAGTTGAGACCAGCAAAAATTATTATTTAATAGAGGTTATAAATTTATAGAGGATTAATTTAGAGAAATTTTACTGTAAATAACACCCAATTTTCGTTAACAAAAATCTGAATCCCGGACCGACTTAGTCTTCACTCCCAGAAGTTCGTTCAATAAACCAACTATATTTATTTTCTTCATGATTCATCTTTATAAAAAAAATTGGCTAGTCTTACTTCTTGTAGCTTAGAGAATCGTACATAGGCCAATGGGTTTTCACTGTTTTATAAATGTGGTGCCACATGGTATAATATTAGTAACAACTCTCTCTTGTCCTAATTATAAACCATAAATTTGAACTAATTTTGATGTTAATTTATACTCCCTCCGTCCCATAATTATTGTCCAATTTGAGTTTTCATATTTAGTTCAAATTGTACTAAAAGTAAAATCTCAAATTGAACCATAATTTTGGGACGGAGGGAGTATTTTATCATCAAGTTAGGAGAGGGTAATATATAGTATATAAAATGGAACAGTGTCGGGTCATGATTTTGGAGAAGGAGGTGCGAAAATTTTGAAATAGTATTAACTTGTAACAAATTATCAACGTTTATGGATTCAAAGCAGACTTTCTTTTCTTAAAGATAATTCTTTTTTTTTTCTTAAAGATAATTCTTTTTGTTGAAACCATTGATAAATTTCCATTATGATTTATGACCTGGAATGAAGTTTGAGAAACGAAAATGTTGTGTTGTGTAAAAGGAATATCTTTTGATTTGTATGATAACAAAACTGAAACCTTGAGCGTACGATGAGTTGGTTTAGTGTAACACCACCCGTGCTACAAGAGGAAGTCATGAGTTCAATCTTCTACTCTAACAAAAAGTGAGGGGATAGTTCTCACGTTGCTTATTGACACCTTTAGGGGCTTGTTATAGCTAACCCACTAATGAACCCTCGATTTCCATCCGAGCTTATCACCCCGGACATGCCTAGGGTGGTTTAGCTCCCACTGTGATTTGCAGGGTATTGCAGTGGACGTGGGTTTACCCATCTCTGGTGGGGTTCCCGGCATTATAAAAAAAAAAAAAATGAAACCTTGCATTTAAATTGTGCTTCAATAGGAGTTAATTTCTACCGTTTTGTTTTAATTCTTTTGGGCTTGTCTCTTAGCCCAAAAGAGAATCCATATCTTTATGGGTTTTACTTTTGTTATTCAAGAATTGGACCTTGACTTGTAATCCGAATTTGTGTTGCTTCTGGTATCCAAATTGATTTGGGTCTTGATTTGAAAAGTTAAATATTCTATTATTACCATTTTTAAGGAATTTGATCTATATTGTTGTGTAAACTTTTGTTATTTAAGATATTTTTTAAGGATTTGTCTAGAGTCCCGTTGCTCATTTTTATGGAACCGTTGTATTTTTTTTTTCCAACCAATCAGACTTGAGGGAACAAGATGTATTTATTTGGTGATTAACATGCTAATATATCCCACGTGTTATAATTATCTGATAATGTAGATGTGTACAAACTAGTAAACTTGTATAAGAATTCTTTGTATAGAGATAATATTTATTAGATATTATTACCAGTTAGATGTTATCTCTATTTGCTCTTATTTCTGTATCTGCTATGCTTATAAAAGGAGAGCAGTCTCTGCAGAAATAATACACAGATCATTCTCTCTTTCTCCCTCTCTATTGTTCTCTCTCCCTGCTTGTTCTTTCTCTCAGCTTTATAGCTTTATACTTCACTTTATATTTATAACACGTTCTCAGCACGAGTCTCTAGCCATGAATGTGAAGAATCTCTGGCAATGATTGAGAATCTATAGTTCAGAAGGTTTGTTTGATGTTCAAGGTAGATTATAAATTTTCTAAAAATTCATAAGCATGATCACTTTTATCTCCATCAAATTTA